TTTGTTATTTTTTTGAAAATTTTTAAATTTTTTAGTTCACCGAATTAACGTCCACCCAACCGGCCACAGTGAGTCGATCGGTCTCAGCGAATTGCTCAAAAGTGAACTCAACTCGTCAGAATAATAACGATGGAGAGAAAAGTCCTGGAAGGTTAGTTACATGCTGAATATATCTTATCTAGGAATTGTGAGATGTCAATAGGTTCGATTCAGTGCGATATTTTGAATTTGATAGAAAAGAGATGAATAGGAATTTGCAAAAGTTTAGTGAAAATTGGGTAAGTTTGTTTCAGATCACGTTTTGGTTCCGAAGGTCGAATGGTTGAAGAGAACGATATGCTACAAAAACTGATCAATGAGGCAAGCACGAAACTAGTTGCATACAGTGAAGAGGTAATATTCAGTGATTGAACAGTTTATTTATTATTCATTTGTTTGTTTGTTTCAAATAGTAATTGAAGAGGAAGTATTGGTTAGAATTGAACCCGAAGAAATGACAGGAAACAAGGAAAGGAAGTAGTGAGAAGTGTGGAATTGAGATAACCTTAATATTTCTTTGAATAATGCTTCAGAGAATTTTATTTTATATTCGATTCCGAGCAAAAATACTTTGCTTGAAGAAAATCACATTGATTAGTTGAAACCAAATCAGTGTCTTTGCAGGCAACAGACGTTCCGTCAGATTCACTTCACGGAATCGGACTGTGTAACGCGGACGATGTGTTTTTGACTAATTGGCAAAGTAATTTTTTAAATTGATCTGTTATATTGGTGTTTGCTTTAAGCTCTGGTTATAAACTGTCGTAAAAAACGTCGGTTATCTATAGGCTGCGATCGAATTTTGTATCGAATGTTAGCGATCATAATAGTGCGAAATATTTCTGGTGAAACCTTTGACAGATCTTGGAAATACATAATTTTTTAAGGTTCAGCTAAAAATTTGAAATATTTTGAGTGCTATCAGCCATTTGATATGATTGTTGTTCGGTTGAATATTGCATGAAATGAGCAGTAATTCTTCATCAGACCAACCAGAGATGTCAGAATTTTTCCATATTTCTCGCTTTTGTGCAATTTCAGTTGATTTAATCAATAGTCAAGCGGTGTTACGTGGTAAAGAGTTGGATGGCTTTGTGCTGCTGACTGCGGCACGAGCCTCTGTGACGCAGCGATTCCATTTACCGGTTTGGAAGAAATCACAGCTGTTGGATAAGCGATCATGGTGCGCAATCTTGACTGGAATGCAGGTTCCTGGCTGTTTTGAGTTTATGTTGATGTCTTATCGAGATTTTGCACGATGAATTTATTCAAGTTTTGGGTCAACTTGAGCTTTTTGAGAGCCTATCAACCGATAGGGAGAATAAGGATTGTTTCCTGACAAGAAGCTTTCTGGACGATCTGTAGTGATTGGGAGATGTTTTGGTTTTGAGTGTGTTTCATTCTCTGTTGAAAATATTTTACTTTACAAAGTTTTTATGGAATGACATGAGAGATCCTAGCAATTTTGGGAGAATTTTAAAGAAATGAAGAATTTTCGGTTTTTTCGTACATCCCTCCGTATGTTCCAATTAATTTCAGTATTTCGCACCACTGGTGATGTCGCACAATCATCAACCCCAACAAAGTGCTCAACAGCAATCCGCGAATGGCTCACCCCAATCCACCTCAGCGTTCTCCTCGTCAGCAACACTCCATAAAGAATCACACCACCAACAGCAACAATTCCGATGGTTATCGAGAGATGTAATCGAAGAAAAAGCGTGCTC